TTCTGGATTTCTGTGCTTCGTCCATATTCATGTTCCTTGCAATTTGGTATCGGAGCTGGTTTGATCGCCACTTACCTTTGGCACGCTGGCGTTATACAGACTTGGTGCGTTGACGATGCTTCTTCGCAGTGGGTACTTGTGACGTCAGGCTACTATAGGTGCACGCCCTGGGTAGAGAGGGGTGCACCGGAAGGCTATTACGGCAGTGTATGCCGTGGGATACAGCAGAATGTTTGATTGATGATGAGAGCATGCTGATGTGGCATTGGGATAAGGTGGCACTGCATTGCGTTGTGGGTGGTACCAAGGTCATGACCGGTCATCAAATGCAACATCAGCTCAATTGGTGAGAAAATCTGTGGTTGGGGGCAGCTATCTCCAGGTATGTTGATCCCTTATCTACTCTCTCAATCTCTTCTTACCGTGAGGAAGTGAGTCCAACTTGAGAGTCCTCTCTTTTGGTGAGGTGTCGTGAGCGCGCTACCTTGAGAGACGACAATCTTCCCGGAAGCATCTTGAAGGAGAAAGGGCGGTGCCTCTGAAGGGCCCTGGTCGAAGCACTGGGTCACGGTCACCATGCCAACCCAATGGGAGTAGGTCACGCATGCGATGGCTGCTGTCCATTAAGGCACTTTGCTGCGCTCAGATAGAAGTCTTGCCAAGTGTGCCAGCCTTGTATGAGACGCTTACCAGACCATCTATAAACATTTCTGGTTGGGTACTGGGAATGATTCTGGCTGTGATCGTCATCCTGACTGCGACATTAAATAATTCCTGAAGAGATGGGGGCGCTCTTAATAATCCTCCTGATCAGCCAGATCATCCGGGTGTAAGGCTCGTTTCCGTACGAGGGTAAATAAGAGTGGGCTGGCTGGCTTACTTGGCTCTGACTTGGGCACAGACAGATAACTAGTTGGTTGACGGACTGCTAACACCTCACAGACATTGTCGGCCTCACGTTTGAATGGACTGCTAACACCTTTGATTAGTTGGTTGACGGACTGCTAACACCTCACAGACAGATTAGATTAGGACTGCAGTATGCTACCATATCCAGTTCTGTCTAATGCTGGCTGTAAGTGAACCAATCAGAGTACATCTAGACTATGTAGACAATCTGTGTGAGTGATGTATTCGGTATAGTAGGGAACTCGCCGGACACAACTATTTATAAAAAACTAAGTGTCGGTCAGACATATGCTGCGGTAGGATTCCACTAGGGGATTCTAGTGCAGATATTGTCTGTCTAACCAATAAGTGGATCAGATCCTGTGGATGATAGAGCTGACAACAGAAGACTGACACGTTCGGAAGCACTAAGGGTTCCACACGTGTTTCAAGCCCTACAACCGGGAGAAGAAAGACGGCTTATAGCCGAACGTAGAGCCCGTGCTCTAGCAGCATCTAGAGCAACAGCAAACGCCGCAGCTAGGGAACAGGCTGCCGCAGCAGCTAGGGCAGCAGCCATGACTAGCTCAGCCGCAACCTCTGCGGCTTTGTCTGGGACAGGGACTATGTTGGGAATGCCTACAAGTTCCACGGGCACTTCCAGTTCGTTGGGTTCTCGACAGTCTACTAGTCAGATGGCGGGATCGCAGTTCAGCCCGCTGACTCCACGTGAGAGGGAGCTCAGGGAAATCCAACAGGTCGAAAGGCTCCGCCAGAAGTTAGAGCAGGACCTAAAAGAGGCTACCGATAGAGAAAAAGAAATGAAAAGTAGAGCAGCCAGGCTTGAAACGTTACAGGCTGACAAGGCTGAATTGGAGGGCTTAGATGACTCAGGAATGAACGAGCCCATGAAAGTGTTGAGGAACAACATGTTGTCGCTACATGCGCACGTGGACAGTAGGTTGGACTTCATGCAGAGCACTTTGGACCAGATCCTGGACATTCTGACAAGGCCAGGATTTAGGCCGCCAGCCCAATCGCCACTGCCGTTAACGGCGATGTCAGGCCCTTTTCCAGTTCAAGCTGGTTCACAACCAAGTGGTACGTTCTTCTTCGGGTCCAGCGGTGATTGCTACATCACCACAACAACCTGTTCAGCAATCTGGACAGCCGCAAGGTCAATGGTATCCCAAGACCCAATGAAACCGCCTCTTGCCTTCTCAGGCAAGAGAAAGGACGAGGAACTCAACACATGGTTGAGGACGGTCCCGGTTTGGGTCAAGGCCAAGAGGACCTTGCCAGAGGATGAAGTGGTAACTGCGGCATCTTACCTAGAGGGTAAGGCAGCCAAATGGCTAGATGGGGTAGTTGTGAAAGCCGGGTACGGGCGACGCATGGCGGACTGGGCCAAGTCTTTGACTCTAGACCAGTTCATGGAAATGGTAAAAGCTCGATGGCATAACCCACAAGAGGCGCAAAGGGCCACTGATGCCATAAATAAACTAGACCAACGCAAGTTCCAATCAGTTAGAGAGCTTACGACTACCGTTGAAGGCCTGATCCTTGTCCCGGGCATCAACTACAGTGACCAGTTCCTGTTAAGAACTTTCGTTAGATGTCTTCCAGAGAACATCAGGAACTTGCTGGCTAGTGAGGCACGCACAGAGTACCACTCATTTGAGACATTGTCTAGGAAGGCTTTAGATTTAGAGGCCACGCTAGGCAATGCTCAACCCACCTCAGGAAATGACTAAAAGAAGAAGAAGAGTCCTCAAGAGTGGAAAAAGAAGGGGGCGAAGTTGATGATGGTGGAGTCCGATGGGACTCAAACTGAGATCGACAAGCTCACCGACCTCATGGACTATACAGAGTTTGACGGCGAGGAGGTAGCTGAGGGTAGCACCCTCGCCGCGGTAGTTAAGACTAAGGCGGCAGGCCGAGGGAAGGGCCAGCCTAGGGGTCAAGGGAAGGCCGCCTCCAATCAGACCAAACAGGCTGAGTGGGTTAAGGCAGGTCTTGATCAAGACGTGTGGCGTGACCACCGAACGCGTGGTGCTTGTATCAACTACGGGGAATACGGACATCGCAGTATAAGTGCCAAAACGCTAAGGTTACGCAAAAGGTTGCTCCAAAGATGGGGGCAACTTATTCCCAGGCTTCTAGCTCGGGAAACGCGTGAGGCCAGTGGAAGTATTAGCTGCTTTAACTCAAGATGAAGTGGGATTGATACCCTCCCCACTTCTTGAGAAGGCCAAGGCTAATGACCCCTTAGTCACCCCGCAGACACAACTAGACCAAACTATGCTCTGTACGTTAGATGTGTCTGAAGCCTTAGAGGACTTGGAAAGTGAGTGGTCAAACAAGGACCCTCGCGAGTCTTGGGTGGCGCTGAGGAAAGGTCCTAGAGGGGAACATTTCGCGGTGGACGTCGATGTAGGAGGCCGCAAATGTGGTGCCTTCATAGACATAGGCTCCACGCGGAATTATATAAGTCGCGACTGTTTGGAAAGGCTGCACCTACAGGACCGGGTACGGACCAATAGCATCTACTTTGGCCAACAAGGAGCGCATGATTGTAACAGACTACATCAAGGACGTAGTCTGTACCTTCTCCTATGGAGGAGGTGAGCTTAACCATAAGATCTCGTTCTTGGTTAGCGACGACTTGCCATTTGACATGTTGTTAGGCATGTACTACCTCGAAGTTGCTAAGCCCCAGTTCGACTGGGATAAGAAGGTGCTCAAGCGTAAGTTGCCCGATGGCCGAACTGTCAAATTGACTAAGTTCAAGGCCAGTAGTATTGTAGATACCTATGGCTGCTTGTGTGCATCAGCATTCTACAATTACTACAAGCAAAACCAAGAGAAAGGTACGTACCTTGTTTATGTCTCTGAGAAGGGGGAGGCCATTAAAACACCCCCAGAGAGAGAACACGTCGTTGCTAAGTTCCCTGATATGTTCGAGGAGCCCACAGGAGTTCTTGAAAAGGAAGTCGTCCACGCTATAGAAATCATTCCAGGGAGTAAGACCCCAAAGGGAAGGATCTATAGGATGCCCCCCGTCGAGTTAGATGAACTTCGGCGACAGCTTGAGGAGCTGACAGAGAAGGGTTGGATTCGGCCTAGTACTTCCCCTTACGGATCACTCGTGCTATTCGTACCAAAGAAGGGGGGTACTTTGAGGATGTGCATTGACTATAGAGGCCTCAATGCCATCACTGTGAAGAACGCAGAGCCTCTACCTCGCATAGACGACCTATTGGATAGGGTGCAGGGATGCAAGTACTATAGTAAGATAAACTTGAAATCCGGATATCACCAGATCGCAATAAGACCTAAGGACCAACACAAGACAGCTTTTCAGACTAGATATGGTCTGTATGAGTTTGTAGTGATGCCTTTCGGTCTTTGCAATGCGCCGGGTACATTCCAGCACGCTATGAATCGGATCTTCCATGACCATTTAGATAAGTTTGCCATGGTCTACCTAGACGACATTCTGATCTTTAGTAAGTCTGCCGAGGAGCATGCACAACATGTTGAGACAATACTTTCACTCCTTCGACAGCACAAGGTCAACTAAGAGAAGTGTGAATTCAGTCGCACTAAGATACTATACTTGGGTCATGAAGTATCCGCGGAGGGAATTAGGCCGGAAGATGGGAAGGTGGCTAGTATTCGAGACTGGCCACGACCTCAGACAGTCATTGAGGTCAGATCATTCTTAGGAATGTGCGGCTACTATAGGAACTTCGTTAAGAACTATTCTACAGTCGCCTCTCCTTTGACTGATCTAGCTCGACTTGATACACCGTGGGACTGGAGTGATGAGTGCGAGGGTGCTTTCAAGAGATTGAAGCATGCACTCATGAATCATGAGGTCCTCATGGTTCCCGATCCGCAAAAGCCATTCATAGTGACCACTGACGCAAGCCAATACGGCATTGGCGCAGTGCTGGCTCAGCAGGATGGGAAAAAGTTGAGACCGATTGAGTACATGAGTAAGAAGATGCCATCAAACAAGTTGGCTAAGTCCACCTACGAAAGGGAACTCTATGCTCTCTATAAGGCACTTGTCCATTGGAGACACTTCCTTTTGGGAAGGTTCTTCTATCTGAGGACTGATCATCAAACCCTCAAATAGATCAAGACTCAACCGGCTCTTTCTGATGCACTCAAGCGATGGATTGAGGTCATAGACCAATATGACTTCAAGCTTGAGTACCTRAAGGGAGAGTACAACAAGGTTGCAGACGCGCTATCCCGTAGAGCAAACTACCTAGGTGCGATAGTTTCTTACTTTGGCGTATCTAATGAAGTAACTCAATCATTGGTGGGAGCCTATCAGGAAGACCCTGTCATGATGGACATCATCCGCAAACTTTAGGCAAAAGACAAGGCCACAGAAAGTGAGTTTGTGATGGTGGACGGGATACTCTATCTTGTTAAGGCCGGAATAAAGAGATTGGTAGTTCCATCTAGTGAACAGTTGTGTAGTTTATTTTTAGGAGAATGCCATGACGCAACGGGTCACTTTGGCTACAAGAAAACGAGTGCTAATCTAGTACAGCGATTTTGGTGGCCTGGTATGTTTGATGACTCAAAGAAGTACGTAGAGACCTGTCAGGTCTGTCAGCGGGACAAGCCGCGAACTCGAGCACCGCTTGGGTTGCTTAAGCCCTTACCTATTCCCGCTGGTCCAGGACAGAGTGTTTCCATGGATTTCATGGACACCCTGGTAACTAGCAAGAGTGGTAAAAGGCACCTCATGCGGCCCGGCTATGGCCGCCAGTGCCCTGGTGCACAGGCAGCGCCCTACCGCCTAGCACTGGCCTGCCTTGCACCTCTCTTAGCGCAGCGCAGCAGCAGCAGCAGCTCGCATTTGCACAGCGTGCCGGCATTGCCCGCAATGGCCAAGATCCCTGTCCACTCGCCCTGCTTGCCTATATGCCAGTGCAGCGTGTGGGTGGCCTTCCTTCAGCCTGTGACCGGGGCCCAAAGGCTGAAGCCAACTCGATACAGTTGGGCCCCGGGGCAATGCAGTTGCGCCTCTTTCATCAAGGCCTGCGGCCAGATTCAGATAGTGGGCCGATTTCCCTTTGGCATTTTCGGCCTCTCTACCCAGCATGCATTGTCGGCCTCACGTTTGAATGCCCAGGGCCTAACTAACTCAGAGGCCCTGGGCTTTCAGCATTTGCTGAAATCCGAGACTTGGTGCACTCCAACCAACTGGCGTGCTGCAACTGTATGGACCCCTCTTCGTGAAATGTTGGCACAGAGGGCTCTTGTTGATTTGCTGGCCCGCCTTCACTTAGGGCGGGCACTAGGCTTGCTGGGGCCTTAGCCCAGAACATGTACATCATGGCAAGGCCCCTTCTTGAGGGCTCAATCGTCACATTCCATCCCCCTTAGCTTCGAAAGTCCGCTGAGATGCTTACTTCGCAGGTGCCTTCCCTTTCAGCCTCCTTTCATATTCTGCCACCACCTGAGGAGCTGTCTCAATCAGTTCCTCCCTGGTAAACCACCGATGTTCGTTGGGATCCGTGTGATGCCTGAATCTGAAACGATATTCTCTCTTCGGTTTAGGAGGTCTTCCTCGACCCAACGGCTTTGCAACAGGCATGTCCGGGTGATCCACAATGTCATCGATGTCGACTTGTCCATCCATGGTTGGGGGCAGCATCGATCTCCTGGAAGGGAATTGATCAGTCTCAGCGAAAGGTGCAAGCTTTGAGGCATGAAAGACTGGGTGAGTGCGTAGGTGTCCAGGGAGACGAATGACATAAGTGGGACCATCTGTCTCATCTCCCACTATATCTAAGACTTCCCAGGGACCAAAGTATTGAGGCATTAGTTTGCGAGAGATTCCGTCTTCGGAGGTGAAGGGCGCTGTGTGGGTAACAAGGGAGAGTGTGGGGAAGAGGACACATACCTGGTGGAGGTGGAGGTCGGCATTGGTGTTGACATCATCACTCGCTGGTAGTCAAGTTGTCTGGTTGCTTTCATAGCTGTAGTTGTAGGCTAGGCTGTAGAGTAGATAGGGCGCCTGGCGCCATTCACAAGAGAGAGCTACAATTGGGTTATGCTGTTGGTGTTGCCCTGTTGGGCATGGACATTGACTCACGATTCTTCTGTATCATTCTCAATTGAAAATGGTTACTCGGTTCCATTGTGCTATCTGCTTTGGCTTGGACTGCTTGGACTTCAGTGTGATTTTGCATTCTGGATTTCTGTGCTTCGTCCATATTCATGTTCCTTGCAATACAGTGGAATCATACTAACTAGCTTACCTGTTGCGGCTTCGCCCACAATGGAGAAGGATATTCTGTCTTGAAAAGCTCGGAGGTTGAAGGGTTCGGTGAGGTAGTTGGATTAGAACTGCTCTCTCTCTCTCTCTCTCTCTCTATGTCTCTCTCTCTCTCTCTCTCTCTCTCTCTCTCTCTCTCTCTCTCTCTCTCTCTCTCTCTCTCTC